CCCCCCCGCCTCTGCCCACCCCGCGCCCCCCGGACCGCTCTTCTCATTGGCTGAGGACATCTCCCCCTAGTTCTGATTGGCTGCCCCACTTTTCCCTCCGCCCGGCGCACCGACCGCACGCGGCGAGCGGCCGGGACTCAGCTCCGAGTCCGGTGTAAGAACCAAAAGCTAGTCTTAGCTCTGCCAGGGGCGCGGGCGCACGTGCGGGGCGCAGAAGCCGCCCATCGCGTGGTTTCAGTGGGCTTGGTGTTCCCACCCGAGGGCTCGCTCGTGGAGCCGTGCCCGGCGAATGGGCGCATGAGGAAGAACAGGGAAATGGACTGCTATTTGCGTCGCCTCAAACAGGAGCTGGTAAGAGCGGAGCCCACAGCGCGGGCGGGCTGGCAGGGCAGTTCTGTCCCGACGGGTACGTGGCTCCGGCCCCAGGCCCGGGGGAGCTAGGACTTGTGCTGGGCGAGGAGGACCGGAGCGGTCGCTAACTGGCAGGCAGAGGGAGGGCCTGTCGGGGAAGGGGCCCCAAGGAAACTTCGGGCAGAGTTGTGATGAGATCGGAGCAAGTGACAGACCCAGAGCAACCAACCAGGCTGAAATGGGACCCAGAGGAACCAGGAGCGAGAGGGCGCACCCAGAGATGGACTGGCACACTGACCCAGCGAGGCTAGGGTGGCTGTCTGCTGTCTGCCTGGGCTTGTCTGCCAGCAGGGAGGGGGCTGGCAGCTGTAATGACGGGGGAGGGCCCTGCGCGGGAGGAGGGGCGCCGCCTGGCTGATCGCTAACGGGAGTTGTAGAGGCCCAGCCAGATGTCAGGTCTGGGCTTGGAGAGAGTGCAGGGAACGTGCGTGCGGAGGCCCCGGGGTGCAGGGGCCGGGAGAAGCTGTCTGCCTGGGCTTGTCTGCCAGCAGGGAGGGGGCTGGCAGCTGTAATGACGGGGGAGGGCCCTGCGCGGGAGGAGGGGCGCCGCCTGGCTGATCGCTAACGGGAGTTGTAGAGGCCCAGCCAGATGTCAGGTCTGGGCTTGGAGAGAGTGCAGGGAACGTGCGTGCGGAGGCCCCGGGGTGCAGGGGCCGGGAGAAGTAGCTTAGTCTGGGGAGGGGGTGAATCACCGAACGGGGGTGGGAGGGGGTGACTGAAAAGCTATGTTAGGGAGGGCCAGGTTGATTCTCACTGACTCAGTACACCACCTGCCTCCCTCCTCCCTCCCGCTCCTGCCTTTATGATTCGTCAAATCCACCAGAATTCAGGCAGATGTAATACATCAACACCTTCTCTCCTCTGCCTCTCTTCTTCAACAGTCTCTTGTGTCTTTGTTCTGCCTCTGACTTTGTCTCTCAGTTTCTCTCTCTGGTAGTTTCTCTTTGGACTCACTTTGTTCCTCGTCTTTCTTTTTAGAGCCAGGGCACCCACGTGCACAGCACAGACCTGGGTCCAGAAAGTGCCAGCTCATAGCTGTCCAGATTCCATGACAGCTTTCCACTTCTGCCTGCAAAGGCTCACTCTTCCTGCCGGGGAGGGAGCTTGGCAGTGTGTTGGGGCCAGCTTTGGAGGGGGAGTGAGGACTAAGCTTTAAGTGGCAGGTGTTCTCCTTGGTACTTCCCGACCGAGTCACCCTGGCACCCTTCCTGTCTGCCTTCTCAGGTTAATGATCATTTCTTTAGTCCTTCCTCCTGAAGCCTTTCTGAAGTGACAGTTGTAAAAGTTACTGGTCCACAGAAGTATATCTTTGGTGAGAGCCAAAGTGTCTTTTGCTGCTCTTCCTAACTTATATCATGCCCCTCCTGTACTACTGGTATTCACATGCATCTCAGACTGGGATGGTGGTGACAGCCCACAGGTACACAACTCTCCTTTTTCCCATTCTCGTGTCCAATACCAGAAAGGAGAACAAGATCATCACAATGTCCAACATCCATGCTGAGGAAAGAATCTAATAGAATCCTCTTCTTTGTGCTTGGAATAGGGGGCCACACCACCCACGTCAAGCTCTGCCTAAATGGAGGGTTTGTGGGTGTTCCTGGCATGGGCTCGAATTTTAAAATCCTACTGATTTGCATTTTATACAGCACCCTAGGTGGGAGGTGGTGAGGGGAGGAAGACAGTCTGTGGATGCCAGGAGAATTTAAAAAGGCGAATAAGAATCTGCACTGAGCTGAGCTCCAGATCTTGATTTGCACCCTCTCTGCCAAGGCCACAGGCCCCCAGTGCCTAGGAGAAGGATTGGGAGAAACTGAAGTCACCCTGCTCCCCATCAACTTTCATTTGGCCTTTTGTCTGAGTAGTTCCAGCCTTTGACTCTTGGAGAGGAAGCCAAATGCCTGGCTTGGGGCCCAGAATGACACTCAGATGGTAGAGCAGTGCACCCCTCCCTGTGGTCTCCACCCCCTCCCCAGTGCCAGCCAGAAAGGAGACAGCAGAGGTATTTGAGCCTTACTCTCTGACACCTCAGCCTCAAGGCTTAGGTAGCGGGACCAAATCTGAGTGCCTCTGTATCCCAAGTGGAAGCAAAGGGGAAAGTAGTGCTGAGCCCAGCACTACTAAGGACTGCAGGAATTGAATTAGATGAAGCTTGGCTGTGCTGGGACAGGGAGATTCTGGCTTGTTTATACCCCGGATGGGAGGTGGGAAAGGCATACAGTTGTCTTATAGCATGAGCTGGGGTGGGGTGGGGTGGGCTTTTGCCCTGCAGCTGGTTCATCCCAGGCAGGATTTCTGTGCCTTGCACCCTAAGGTGGTTTGTGCCCAGGAATGGCCTCCTGTAGTGTTGCTCATTCTGCATCATTTATTTCACTCAGTTCCCTTCAGGAAGCAAACATCCAGCAGACACTGTGGGGATAAGATTGCTGCATAAGGAAACCCTTAACATGTTGTGAAATTATCTTTGTCCAGGGTGTTCTCTGCTCTCCTCCTCATCCTGGTCCTGTCCTTGGCCCAGAGAATATAGACAACACTCTGTTCCTAAAGACCAAAGTAGCAGAATATCTCATTTTCTTGAAACAAAATTTGCATTGTAAGAAGTGAGTACTGGGAAGAGGCTAAAAGTTCAGGGATCCTGGCTCAATTAAGTTGATGGCTAGAGAGTGGGCTGTTCCTCCTGCCTGGAAGGGTAGGGGTCAGATTTCAGAGATGAAATGTGCCTAGAGAAGTAGCAGCAGCTGACACACTTCTTCATTAAGATGAGGGAGTCAGGGCTGCAAGGACTCAGCAGAGAGCACATCTCTCCCCTTCCAGCCGCCAAAGAGGGGCCCTGCCTGAAAGCAAGGCCTTGGGACCAGCTGTTCCTTACACATAGTTCCCTTGTGGGCTCCCTGCAAATGGGACAGACACAGACATGTTGAGGAAGCAGATGTAAGGTGCCCCCAGGGCATTCCTCCTGCATTCAGGTCAGTATAGAACAGATAGAATACATAAAGCCTGAGTGATCAGGGCTCATAAAATACAGCCAGGTTAGGAAGGCTTCCTGGCAGAGGGGGAGGCTGGAGGAGCCATCTTCTGGGATGTCCATCCTAGCTGAGATGTGGGGAAGCAGCAAAGCCTCTCAGATGGAGGCCGTCCTCCTAGGCAACCTGGTGTTCCCTGAAGGTACTTCTCTATCTCTGGTCTTTAGGAACCAGGACCCTAAGGCAAAACGAACATCAAGGGAGGCAGAGTTACAGTAGGCACTGTTTTTTAGCTCTTGGTGTAAAAGAACAAATTTCCTTAGGCAGAAATATAGCTTTTGCAAAGGATCTCATCCTAGTCTCCTTGGTGTTTAAAGCAAGGAGGAAGAGAGTTTTTGTGCACTTTAGACTAGGATCAGTTAAAAGAACATGGAGCATGGAACTCGGGCCAGGCCAGCTTGAACTTGGCATATTATTTAACCTCTCTCTGCCTTGGCTTTTCATCTCTAAAATGGACTTTTAAAAATACCTATTTCAGGGCCAGGGATTTAGCTCAGTGGTTCTGCTTCCTGCCTCGAAAGCACACGGTTCCAAGTTTGATGCCAGTACCCAAAACAAAAACAAAAACAAAACATAAAAATACCTATCTCCAACTGGGCCTGGTGGCTTAGGCATATGATTCCAGTGCTCTGGGAGGCTGAGGCAGGAGGAACACAAGTTTAAGCCCAACCTGGGCAATATAACAACTTAGAGAGACCTTGTCTCAAAATAAAAAATAAATCTGCTGGGGACATAGCTCAGTGTAAAGGCTCTGGGTTCAATCCCCAGTAACGAAAAACAAAATAAAAATAAAAAACAAATGAAAACACCCAGTTCATACAGCTACTGTGAAGATCAAATGACAATGTAAGTAAAGTACTTTCCCTACCTGTATGTCTTTATCACATAACACGGTTCCTGATATGTTGCAAGGACTTGGTAAACTCTTGAAGTTGGGTTGACCAGACTGGTTTCCTTAAAGTCATTTATTCACAGAACACAGCAGGTATTGAGATCTAATATAGTTAAGGCACTAACTACACACTAACACTGTGGTTACAAAGACAAACAGACACAGATCCTGTCTTCAGGGAACCTACAGTTTAATAGAAAAGATAATAATGCGTGTTGATGTTTACATTAATATGCCAGCATATAATGTATTGTGCTGTTTAATTGCCAAAGCAGCACTAAGAAGTTGTACTTTATTTCCATTTAAAAAAAATCAGAGCCGGGGATTTAGCTCAGCGGTTCTGCCGCCTGCCTTGCAAGCACAAGGACCCGAGTTCGACCCCTGGTACCAATAAATAAATAAATAAAATTTTTTAAAAAATTAAAAATCAGAAAATAGAAACGTGAGGAGGGAAAGTGAGTTGGCCCAAGTCAAGGAGTTGATAAATAGCAGAGGTTAGATTCAGACCCAGTCAGCCTGACTGTTGAACTTACGGTGCAAACCTGTAGAGTAAATGTTTGCAAACCTCTAGTACAGAAGCAGGATATGTGCTGTGGAAGGCAGACTGGCTCAGTGGGCTGAGAAGAGAATAGTAACCTCCACCTGGAGGTCAGAGCAAGCTTCCTGTTGTGGAAGAAGTAGCAGTGAGCTAGACACTGAGGGATAAACAGGGTCGTGCACAGCATTCTGCCAGACAGTGAGACAGGAGCAAAAGGCACAGAGCAGAACAGTGCAGATGTCTGAAGACCAGATTGAATGTATGCGGAACATTGGGCATGTACAGAGAAGTAGTGGGCAATAGTGCCGAAAGGGCTTTGAGGGCAGACTCTGGAGGTCCTTGAATGTTATGCCGAAGAGTCTGACTTCTGTGTTCACTGCTTGGGGATATGCACTGGGACCGAGCAAGTGATGTGGAGTGGAGAAGCGGGGAGGGAGGAAATTGAGGCATGAGAGTGAGTTAGGTGGTTGTTATAAGGATCCAGGCA